GCTGTAACGAGCTTTGACCAGCATTATTACACCTATACCCCCACTTCTGTTTAATTTCATCATAGATGTACTAATAGACTTAACCCTAACTGACAACTTCAGCGACTCAGGGATTGACTTGTTACTATCAGGGAATAATCTCGTTGACTTAAAATATGCAGATAATACAGTCCTCCTTCCTAGGTAAAGACGCTGAGAAAAAATAGAGCGGAGTCTCCTGAACACCTTGAACAGTGAGCAATCTTAAAATGGTTGATAAGTGATTCACTCCTGCTGCTGAATGTCAGATGAGGCTTGCTACATGACTCGACAGGACTGCATCGACTGACTCCTGGCTTAAAGATAGGAAAGTGGTGAAGTGGTTGGTGGAGTGTGTTGGCCACTTCACTTATTTGGAGGAGGGAAGTTGCATCAGATGCTGACGAAATCTCAGGACGGATACAGAAAGATCGTTCGACATACGCCCGCCAACTAACGCCATCTCTGGCTTAGTAGGCATGATATCCGACTGTCTATCGACCAAACGGTGTGTGTACTGGTCAGTAGAACTTCACCCCGTCCTTCTTTATGGCTGTGCACGGGACATGGTCATTGAAAGTGGAAGATATCAAAAACCTGGCTGGCTGTCTTTGATCATAGGAGTCTATGTTCTATTTCCCGTGTGTATTAGGTGGTGGTATGATAGGGTGAGCAATTTTGGGGTTAGACTTGGGTTGAGTACTGGATAAGGAGGGGAATCAATCGACAAGGTGGTTGCGAAGCTACTACTACATCGATTGAGAGAGATGGTTAGGACATGTGTTACGCATGCATGACTAGCCAAGTCATCGAAGACGCTGACGAAATGCAGAGTCTTCTAAACACCTTGAGTCGCAATCTACGAATGTTTGGCATGCGATTCGCTCCCGCCAAATGCAAGATGACGATACAAGACTGGACTACATCGACGCCTAGTTTAAAAATAGGAAGTGAAGTGGTAGAGCACGTTGACTGCTTCACTTATTTGGGAAGTACCATCAGCCAGTGCCAACGGGTTGATCTCTGACGAAATCTCAGCACGAATACAAGGGGCTCGTTTCGCATTTGTTAGTTTACGCCGACTCTGGCGTAGACGTGATATCCGACTATCGACCAAAGGGCGGGTGTACTGCTCATCAGTCCGCTCCGTCCTCCTTTATGGTTGTGAGACCTGGCCACTGAGAGTGGAAGACATGAAAAGACTAGCTGTCTTTGATCATAGATGCCTGCGCTCTATTTCCCGTGTAAGGTGGCATAATAAGGTGAGCAACATTGAGGTTAGGCGTAGAGTTCTAGGTAAACAGGGGAAATCAATCGACGAAGTCGTGAAGTTACAAACACTGAGATGGTTAGGACATGTGTTACGTATGCCAAGCCATCGCCTCCCTCGACGAGCAATGTTAGCGGATATAGGGTCAGGCTGGAAAAGTGAGAGCTAGCGGCGGTCAAACAAAAACTTGGCACCAGTCAATGAAATCCACAACAGTTGGTCTAAACCACGTAGGAAGGTGTAGACTTCCTGACTGGTTGGGGTCCTCGAGACGGTAAAAATCAATGGTTGGAAACAATTGGTGACATGGCTCAAAATCGTTCTCAGTGGCGCAGATGCACTGACTACTTGTGATTTATTAAATCCAATGAAACTCTATTGTTCTTTTATATTACTATTCTTTTTCCCTCACTCATAGTTGAGTTTATCATCTCTCTCTCTCTCTTGAATCTGTCTTTACTGTCTTCTCTTGCTTTGTGTGGTACAATGAAGGAGGATGGCAAGTGGAAGTGCTACACATCTTTGCAGAGTTCTATTTTGAAACTAGCCTGTCACTCAATCACATGTACGATTGATATATATAGTCCTAATTTCCTACATGTCATTTTTTATTTGTCTGTTTGTACTTCTCTCACTCCACTTATTGATTTAAGATCTGACTTTCTCCCACCCTACTTATGACCTTTTGAATCCTATTGGTTGTTCACTGTATTAATTTATCAATGACACTAGTGCCTCTCAAGGTCATTTTAAACACTTACGTACGCAAGCTCTGTCAAACTTTATTCTTTTCATGAAAAATTCCCACTCGAACATTAATAGACAGAAGACCCCAGCAGTTCAGCGAAGTCTCTTTTCGCCGGCGAATTCAGTTTCATAGCTGTACAATCCCAAATATATGTATGGTTCTTTTGTATGTATTTGTACATTAAATTTGTCAAACGAAATTACAATTAGTAAGTTCAGATGAATTGGATGTTGATATAAGAGGATAGTAACAAAAGTGATGAGTTGTCATAAATGATTGTTAAATAAGAGTTACATGATGGTGTGAATAGTTTGATGAAAGACTTATGCTCAGGGTGGCCATGGAGACAAAATAATATACGGAATTACACAAGGGTTTTAAGAAGTTAGAAAAATAAGCATACAAACAAGAGTTAAGTTAAAACAACAGCGTTGTTACCATGAGAGTAAAAGTGGTTGAACAATTTCCTTTTGTATGCATAGTTCTGGTTCTTCCAAATGAATGACTAGGGCTTCTGCAATGCAAAGAAGACGGAAACGTATTGTCTTTGGAAGGTTGTTCTTCACTATGTAGATTACTGTGAAGCAGGAGGTGTTTGCTGAGATGGAGTGACCAGTGTTGGTGAGATGTTCGATTACTGCACTCCTTATACGTCCACTACTTCCTTTCTGCAGCCACGCTGGATAGTGTTCTTTGACCCTTTGTGAGAGGATGTGCGTTGAATGTCCGATGTAACTGGCCGGCTCTACAGCAACAGGTGAACTGATTTTGTTTCCATGACACCCTCCTGAGCACAACTCTTCCATCAAACTATTCACACTATCATGTAACTTTTATTTATGACAACTCATCACTTTTGTTACTATCCTCTTATATCAACATCCAATTCATCTGAAATTACTAATTGTAATTTCGTTTGACAAATTTATTGTACACACACATACAAAACAATCATGCATATGCATTTACGATTGTACAGCTATGAAAATGAATTCGCCGAAAAGAAACTGTTTTCTGATTGTTGTTTTCAGACAGTAGAAAACCACTCTGACCAACGTCCAGTCTTCTCTTTTATCTTTGCGGCCCAGTGGTATTATTTAGATATGATAGAGAATATTTGTAGCTCAGGTGGATGATTTTGACGTGGATATGTTCTCTGAGCTGGCTGGATAGTTAATTTGCTAACCTTTCATCGCCCTACTTACTAGGCAACATCTTCAGCACCCATACTTCAATTTGAAGTGAAGTGAGCTTTTAGATTTCTCCACAAGTTTATTAATTATCTCTCCCAGTGACTCTTTGGTTGTTTTTGTGTGTTTTCACATCCTCTAGACTTCTACTTCTATTGGAAGTGATTGTTTCTTTGACTTGAACTTTGACCCTTCATGTGTGAGGTTTCTTTCTTATCCGTTAATAAATTTTGTCTATCTCGATGTGTCTTGAATAAAGCGAGAACAACATTGATTTGTGCAGAATAACATGGTACCATCATTTATTTCGTTGGCTTCTCGTCAGCTGCTTACAGCCTAAATAAATTTTAAGGTTCAAGTACAGAAACGTGTTAACATACTTGCAAATTTTACATGTTGTCAGTTGACAGAAAGTTTCACAATTAGTAAACAGTGCTCAGAAAATTGTGAAACTTTCTGTCAACTGACAACATGTAAAATTTGCAAGTATGTTAACACGTTTCTGTACTTAAACCTGAAAATTTATTTAGGCTGTAAGCAGCTGACGAGAGGCCAACGAAATAAATGATGGTACCATGTTATTCTGCACAAATCAATGTTGTTCTCGCTTTATTCAAGTTTATCAAGGGGAATAAATGCATGAAGTTTCTCGATGTGTCTGTTGATTGATGATTCACTGGAATACCAAGCTTCTAAAAATTCTCCCGGTAGCATTCCTATTGTTTCCTCTCTGTAATATTTGAACGTTGTCCCAGTCGAATTGATGTCAGTGGTTGTCTGTATGCAGTGAAGCGATATGAGGGAGTGGATGTCATGTCTTTTGATGGCTAGCTTGTGATAGTGGATACGAAGACGAAGGGGACATCCACTTTGGAGAGTCTCGAAATCACTGCAAGACTCCTCAAACGTTTATGAATTTACATCGTACACAAACTAACAAAATCGATTCACTCAGCCAGCCAGCCAGTCAGCCCTGTGTCAACCAAAAGACTCAACAACAAAAGAAGATAAAACCACCAACACCATCTACAAAATAAATTGTAACAACCGCTAAAAACACTATATTGGCCAAATTGGACGTCGTCTTCGTTTTCGTATCCATGAACACAAACTAAGTGGCCGTCAAAGGATAGGACATACACTCCCTTATACCGATTCGACTGGGACAACCAGCGTTCAAATATTAGACAGTGGAAACAACAAGAATGCTAGCCAGAGAATTTTTAGAAGCCCACCTGGTATTCCAGTGAATCATCAATCAATAAACACATCGAGATAGGCAAAATTTATCAATCGATAAGAAAGAAACTTCACACACACACAAAGGGTCAAAGTTCAAGTCAAAGAAACAATCACTTCCAATACAAATAGCAGTCCAGAGGATGTGAAAACACACAAAAACAGCCAATCACGATGGTCACCCACCAGGAGAGATGATTAATAAACTCGTGGAGAATTCCAAAAGCTCACTTCACTTCAAATTGACGTATGCTTGCTGAAGATGTTGCCTAGCAAGTAGGGCGATGAAAGGTTAGCAAATTAACTATCCAGCTAGCTCAGAGAACATAAACCACATCAGTGGTATTATTGTTGTTGCTGTTGTTGTTGACGTGCGATTAGGACAGATTAGCCAACGCATTAGAGTTAGTATTCACTCACAGTCTACTAGAGGTTATAATTCTGGGGTCATCACAAAATCAATTCAATCAATAAAACTACTGAAACTCAAAATTATTATTACATGTATACCAAAACAAAAAGAATCGTAACTTACATTGTAACATAAGTTCATAGACTTGTTCAGGACAACCTTCAGGACGAAGCATTCGTGTACCTCTTTCTAATAATACATACACATCTTGTAATTCAACACCTGGATATGGTGTTTTCCATAAGTGGCAATCTCCCATAACAGCACACCAAATGCCCATACATCTGATTTTGTTGAAAATATATTATAAACCAAGCCCTCTGGTGCAGTCCATTTAATCGGGAATTTAGCCCCTTCATGTGCTCTATAGGTTAAATCCCGTTCTATACAACGAGCCAACCCGAAATCTGCAACTTTGATTGTATGCTGTCTACCGACAAGGCAATTACGTGCGGCTAAATCACTATTTTTTGGGTGTTTGGGGGGGGGGTTGAATACAATCAGGAAGATAACATCAGTTGATATCTTAATGCACAATATAAATATTCAAAAAAATTTAATGTCTGAATACATACATACTGAATTACAGTAGAATAGAGTAAAATGTGCTTATTCACCGTAATTTTAATGGTATCCGTCATTAACATACATCCTTTTACACACAATAAACCCACTGAAATTCTATAGCAGTCTCATTGAATCCAATAACAATGTACATTGTTCTTAGTCTGGCCATGAAGGTTTTTAACATTCCTCAATTTATTGTAGAGATTTCCTTAATTTTATATGATATTGTATTTACTATTCATGCCTATTATTATTATAAGTTATGCATCTTCGCTTCGACTGTGATAATTCTATTGTGACAAAAAAAACAATATTGTTAATTCATGGATAATCCCCATCCAGACATTAATGAAAATAAAACACGTAGTTCAGCGAAGAGAGTTTACTGCTGAAGACATTTAACTGTTGCCATTCAGCAATAAATTCACTCTTGAAATGGAAAACGAATCAAAAATTCCGTTTCTTGATGTCAAACTAACAAGAAGAACTGATGGGAGCCTAAGAAGATCGATCCATAGAAAAGCTACTTGGAATGGTCAACTAACAAGATTCTATAGCTGGGTACCCATTCAACAAAAGAGAAATTTAATTAAATCACTTGTCACCCACATCCGACGCATCTGTAGTTCCAATGTTTTAGAAATAGAATTAGATATTCTAAGAGAAACCTTCATTCACAATGGATACCCAGTAAGATTCATTTAGAAAAATATCAAACTAAGAATTTGTAGAAATGAAATTTCACTTGCGCCTAAAAACAAACTCTACATGAACTTGGATTTCAAAGAGATTTAACAAGCGATATTCTCGAGAGAAGAATCACATCATCTTTGAGAAGAAAATTCTTCGCAGTAAAACTAAGAATAGTGTTCTCGAGTCGCCAACTGGTCTGCAGAAGTCTTAAGGGCAAGATTCCGTATCTGACCACTTCTGTGTGGATGTATCAGTTCACCTGCTGCTGTGGAGCCAGTTAAGTACATCGGTCGTTCGTCCGGAGGATTCAAGAACACTATCCAGCATGGTTGAGAAAAGACAATAATGGTGCAATAAGGAATGAGATAATTCAGTACCAGGTTAACACTGATCATTCCATCTCGACAAACGCCTCCTCTTTCAAAGTAATCTACAGCGTCACGAATAACCTACCAAAGGTAATACGGTTTCGTCTTCTTTGTATCGCTGAAGCTCTGTCCATTCACATAGAAAAAACTGGACTTGTGCATACAAAAGGGAATTACTCAACCACTTCTACTGTCATCGTAACAACATTTTTGATTTTGATGACTTAATTGTGTTTGTTTGCCTGTTCTTTAATTGCTTATAATTCTTGTACATTCATTTAGAACTCTTGCGTAATTTCGTATTATCTACTTTGCTTCTATATGTGTATCCTGAGGAAAACTCAATCATCAAACTATTCATATTATTACATAACTTCTTTTTTAACAACCGTTTATGACAGCTCATCACCTTTGTTATTACCCTAATATCAGTAACACATAATTATCTTGACTGATTGCGTATTACGTAACTCCAATTACCAATCTTCACCCGTTTAGTTAAAATGACCATAACCAATTGTACTTTTCAAGTATTGGTTTGTAGGGATTTGGTTGATTGGTTACTGGATTTCATCATGAGCTGACACTGGTTAGAGAACCATTGGAAAACCTGGGAGTACTGGACAGCTGTTTCGTCCTAGCAGAAGTTGGAATTCATGGGCTATTGGATCGGGTCCCAGTGGTTCAATGGTCTACGAGCTCGCTAATCTTGTAACCAAAACGTCCTGGGTTCGAACTCTAGCGGTGGGTGGGAACTACTGAAGAGTCCCAAACTAAGACGAAACAGCTGTCCAGTATTCCCAGGTGTTCCAATGGTTCTTTAACCAATGTCAACTCATGATGAAATCCTGTAACCAATTGTATTTTTGTTTGACAAACTTAATGTACACATACAAAATGGCACATGTATATTTGCGCTTGTACAGCTAAGAAAATGAATTCGCCGCCGAAAAGAGACTCTTCGCTGAATACTACGTGTTTTGTTTTCATTATTATTGTTAACGAGGATTATTCTAGAATATTCTGTGTATATAAAAAGTTGTAGGGGTGGAAGGTGCGTCGGTAGCACAGCGGTTAGGATGTTCGCTGATCACCATGCACATGGTCCGGGATTCGATCCTTGGCCGATGCCACACTCCTTTACTTCTCTAAGCCAGATATAATGCTGGTAAAGAGGGAAGGTTGAGGGGTGAGGCTAGCAACGCCATCCTATAAAAATTAAACACTGCTACAGAAACTTAAAGCCACTAGCTTGAAGCCCTATGTTCCACTGGGGAACGTGAAGAAAAAAAGGGCTGGAAGAGGAAATTATCGAAGAGAATATTTTTTGCTCAGTTTCATCTTTTCTCTTTTTTCCTAAATATTTGAATCAAACATATTTTCGCTGTATTTATAAATATGATATGATAAAAGATACACTGTACAGTGTGATAGTATACAGACAGATTTATCAAAAAACTTTATACATATATTGAAACTTACCGATGTATAAAATTGTGTTGTTCCAAATAAGCCATACCTCTAGCAACTTGTGTTGCCATATGCAGTAAAACTGATGGCGTCATTTCTGTTCTAGGCTGTGTACGCAAATAATCCAATAGATTACCATTGCACATAAATTCAGTGACAATATAATACGGTGGTTCACGTGTACATGCACCTGGATGATGATAAGGGGGAGGGTGTGAGGGGAAATAAACAAAATTATGAATGAATGACTGATTATTTTCGGTCAATGCAATTTGTTTTCAAAAAAATGAAGATACTACTCACAACTTTAGCGACTATTATTTGACAATAAGTTGATATACAGGAATTCATCATGAGTTGACATTGGTTAGAGAACCATTGCAAAACCAACAAGGGGTAGTGGACAGCTGTTTCTTCCTAGTTTAGGACTCTTCATCAGTACGCACCCACCCCAACTGCGTTCGAGTCCAGGACCTTCTGGTTACAAGGCGAGCTCGTATACTATTAAGCCACTACGATGAAACAGCTGTCCAGTACTTCCTCCCAGGTTTTCCAATGGTCCCCTAACCAATGTCAGCTCATGATGAAATCTTGTAACCAACCAATCAAATCCCTACAAATCAACACTTGAAAATGTGCGACAATAATTTTAATGACTTTGTTGTACAGAAAACCAGGACTAGATTTCACTGAAAATTGCACACGTGAGGTAGTTCAAACTTTGTACAGTAAGTAGCACGATAGAATAATACACCCAGCATAATGGATATTTCAGCGAGGAATCAATCTCACACAACTCTACACGAATACCACAAAAAAGTGTTGGAGCTGCTAAAGACACATTAATAATCACACTATATAAAGACAAAATAAAGCAAGATAATATCAGACTACAAGAACGAAAGGGAAAAGTTAAGAATAATTTTTTCTAAAAATAATCATCAGACAGAATATGACATTCAGAGAATGCGACAATGTGACAATCCAGTGACCACAAGACACCACAATGTGTGAGTGATTTTCAACCATTTTTATCGGTCAACAGTGTATTATCACAAGTGATTATGTCACATACTGTACTATATATTACCAATTTATACATGTATATGGCCACACATAAATCACACTTTGCGCGTAAGGGAGATTACATACCTAACTAAATGACTCCAAAAATAAACTGAACTGTGAAGCCTGGATAAACGCACGTGGCAGGCTACCAAATTCGTCCATTTTGTTTTGTTCTTTCACATTCCCAGAGGAACATAGGGTCTCAAGCTAGAGGCTCTGTAGTTTCTGTAGCAATGTTTATTTTTACAAGATGGCTTAGAGAGGTAAAGGAGTGTGGCATCGGCCAGGGATCGAACCCCGGACCATGTGCATGGTGGTCAGCGAGCGTCCTAACCGCTGGGCGCCACCGACGCACAAATTCGTCTGTAGCAAAATTAATTCATTGATATGAATCACAAGATAGATATATAAAAATGTCCTTCAAGGTTATTTATAAAAATCCCTCGGCATTTATATTATGTTATGTATAGGTAATATGTATCCGTAAACTCAATTCACCCCTGCCCCTGTGCGCACAAAAGACAATTTATTACTACTTTAAACTTGAATTGATAATCCTTACCTGATGCCGTCATTAAAAGTTGTGTGGCAAAGTTAAAGTAGTATAGCTGAAGTCAAGGTCTCTCAAAAATTGACCTTCAAAAACCAATCAGATACAGGGAAAGCTACGAGAAGTCATTCCTAATCAAGTCGCGCCTACCTTTCTGAATATGGAGAGGGTACATATTGTATTCCATTTATTATCTTGGTAGGTTCCAAGACGGATACAGAGGGCTAGTTTCGCATATGCCAGTTTACGCCGTCTGTGTCTAATTAGACGTGATATCCGGCTTGCTATCGACCTAAAGGCGGGTGTACTGCTCAGAAGTCCGCTCCATCCTCCTTTATGGCTAGCTGTGATACCTGACCTTTGAGAGTGGAATACATGAAAAGATTAGCCAGGTGTCTTTGATCATAGATGCCTGCGCCCTATCCCCCATGTGAAGTGGTATAATAAGGTGAGCAATATTGAGGTAAGCTTCGGTCGAGTTCTAGGTAAGAAGGGGAAATCAACCGATGAGGCTGTGAAATTACATCGACTAAGATGGTTAGGACATGTGTTATGTATACCTAGTCATCGCCTTCCTCTGTGATGGGCAATGTTAGCTGACACAGGGTCAGGCTGGAAAAGAGCCAGCACCAGTCAAACCAAAACATGGCTTCATCAATCAATGAAATCAGCATTAGTTAGTTTAAGGCAGTCAGTCAGTCACGTAGGAAGGTTTAGACTTCCTCACTGGCTGGGATCCTCGGGACGGTAGAAACCAATGAAGGCTGGAGATAATTGGTGATATGGCTCAAAATCATCGTTCTCAATAGCTGACGCAGATGCATCCACTCCTTGTGACTTACAATACCCAATGAAACTATATTGTTCTTCGTTATTACTATTCCTGTGTCTCACACCTCTGTTTACTGCTCCTATTATGCATCTCTTCTACTTTCTTCTGTTGCTTTGTGTGCTACAAGAAGGGAGTGTGGCGACTTGAACTGGTGCACATTGGTGCAAAGTTCTATGTTGAAAACAGAGAGAGAGAGAGTCAGTAGGTTCCAAATCTATGGCGTTATGGCATTTAAGATTAAGGTTAACGGTTAAGATTAGCATTTAGAAATATCGTTAGGGTTAAGAGTTGCTTAAAGAACAGGGTCATAAATATCAATGGGTCTCAAAGTACCACGACCTACACAGTCACCTGGATGAATCAATCTATCCCACATGGTATAACTTGCCCATAAATCATCTGTGTAGTAAATGAGAGACATTCTTACAACACATACGCATGCAACAACTCCATATAGGGTGTAACGTCATTTTTGCACCAGTATTTTAGTGTATTTTTAATGGTTATGCAACTGTTTTTGTGTCTGAATCCTGATTGGTTGTTCAAAGAGTCACATCGATTACGGTTGCCATAGTCTAACTTTCCACTCTAGTATTTTTAAATATTCTTATCCATTCCTACTCTTAAATCCCTTGTCATTTTGTGTTTGTTTTAGTTCAACTGAAAATCCCCAGAATATAATGCGAACAAGATGATTTTAAGCGAACACAAAGGGTGGTTTCGATAAATTCTTCTTATTCTTCAGGCTATGCATAGTTATAAATCCATGATTCCACCATTAATACACATGGGCGGTCAATAAAGGTGTGTGGAAATTGGTACAAGGAAACTGAATTGTTGAGGAACATGTATATAATGTGGAGTGATAGTGTTTGTTATTTAATATTTTCAAACGGACGTATATAAAAAAATGTGCAGTCATTCAAAACATAAGTTTGAATACACGAAAGGGTGACACACTGCTTATGTATTTTTAGTCAACAGAATGTAGATCTCATTTGGGTGAGGGTTGGAGTGGGTATTACGGTGAGCTATATTCAACGATGTGCGTGAGAAACGATTACTACAAAAATATATACAAACAAACAAATGCTTAGTAATGACAAGTATTAGCCAATCGAAACTCTGATAGAAGGTAACAGGGGGTTATGTGGAAACAATCCTATCTTACGCTTCATCTTACATAACTTTTGCACAGCAGAAGAAAATGTAGATAGATGGGGGGGGCACACGCCGCTGAGGAGACCGTCGAATGACATCACGCACACTGCAGACCATTGCTCGAGTGGAATCCCAATCAGAAACGACGAATTGGGCATGTACTAGAAGTTAATATGGAGGAGATGAGAGATTATGCGGCAATCGTGAGGTCAGATAGCTGAAGAGGACACTGGGAAATAGAACAAAGTGGAGGTGTGTAGTTGAAGCTCTAGCCGACCCCCTTAGAACTAACGGGAATAATAAAAAATGCTTTAGAAAACAAATTATCACTCTGACTAGTTTATATACAGTAAGGTAAAATGTCAAAGAGCTAAATAACTCACCTAATAATGTCACAAGATTTGGATGTCTTAAACTTTTCATCAAGCGTGCCTCCTCTAAAAATTCATCACGTACAGTTACATTTTCCTTTGTAAAAGAAAACAAAAAGATAATGAATTAACAAACAATGAACAAAAACAGTACACACGAAAAGTACTATTAGTGATACTGTTAAAAAATCATTAGAATGCGATAAGCTCTATATGAAAACGACAGCTACTTGGAACTCTATGCGTTTTGGAATGTGCAATATCTATTGCGTGTAAGCTAGTGATATTGTACTGAGAGCTGGCTGCTAGCCAAAGTTGGTAGACAGTAATTTACGTCAATGTTTACGTTCCCAATATTGGTCGTGAGATAAATAAGAACAAAGACTGACTCAACAACCAACCACAGGATACTTTTTGTAGACAGATGCAATTTGCAGATAGATAAATGGCCACAAAGAGATGAAAGATTAACGTTCAGCAAGAAACCACCACCAATCAGAAGACTGTTTATTTGCTTACAATAATCAATAATAATGTACATGAAAATCTATAAATATGTGTTGATTTCCTAAATAAACGATCTGTTTCCTGGCCCCTGTCTTCTGTTGTTACATTATTACTTGGCAGGTAGAGCGGGGAGGGGGGTTGAGTTCGAACCCATGACCCATTTGGTTGGTATTCAAGCGCCTAGACCAATAAGTCACATAGCTAAAAGCTATATATAAAAACTTTCGAAAACATCTCTTTTGGAATTCTAGTAAATCAACCAGAAAGTGATCCAAACGACGAAATACTTACCCACACCAATGCTAATCACAACCAGAATATAAGTATAATCACAGTGGTATTGGAACCACCCGTATGAGGGTGTTCTGATATGGCGATAAATGTCCAGTCTGGATATAAGATAGTCAGTTGTCTTATAAATGGGTTATCTTATCTCACACCTGCCTACATCAACTGGCCCATGGTTACATTCTTTGTTTTTTTCTTTGTCCCCCACATACACATATATGTATGCATATAAACACTAGTTACTAACTGGTGTAATATGTCTAGACCTTTGTTAAGTGCAGACTGAATTCTATCAGTCAGTCAGGTTTGCAAAATATGGCCACCATCCCATTAAAAGTGGCTCATCATTACGGTGCACTTTGAATTGTTGATATTAGATGCCTGGAGGCAATCGGACACAGGAAGCCTTGGTCGACCTAGCTTTCGTCCTTGTTGGCGCTCATCAGTCGCCAAGGCGTATGTGGTGCAACTGCCTTGAAGGAACTCATTTCCCACCACTGAGCTAATCGGGCTCGTGATTGACTTCATGTATGTTTGTATTGGATACTTTGATTGCACACCAGTGAGTAACTAGTGTAGTGTGTCTACTCCTTTGTTTAGCGAAGACTGACGAGTGCCAAGTAAGACGAAACCTGGGTGAAAAGCTTCCTGTGTCCGATTACCTGTAACCATCTAACACATATATATAACTGTTTCCTTTCGTAAATATACTTTTTCATCTGACCTCTTGTGTCTACTCGCCTAAGTAACAGGGGAATGAGAGATCACGTGGCTATTATATATATATTGTCGGACAAATGACATTCTTGATTACCGTGTGTCTGTAATCACCAGTTCGGCAAAATATAAAAGTTAATACGTCCAAATCAGTAAATCAATTCAGTTCAACACCAACCCATCCAGTCAAGTGTGTGAGGATGAATGTCCCACAAATAACATTGGTTGGTGGTAGTCGTGCTAAATCATGAATTGGTAGAATTTTCAATTCTTGGAATAGCCATTGAATCGAATCCAAGGGGTTGAATGGTCTACAGGCTCGCTATCCTTGTTACCGGTAGGTTCTGGGTCCGAACCCCAGTGGGTACGTATTGCCGATGATTCCCAAACTTGGATGAAACAGCTATCTAGTACTCCTTGGTGTTTTTCAATGGTTCTCTAACTAATATCGATCCATGGTCAACTTGTAAAAACAAAACTAATTCTTACAAAACAACTACAGAAAATATATTTATGAAAACAAGAATGCATAAAAACTGTATAAAAGTGTTACACAGGATACCTTCCTCTCACATGTGATAGAAATAGCTCCCAATTTTTTAGGTCGGAGTATCAACAGAGTAAAATCCCATTGTGCATAAAATTTATTATGACAGTCTCATATTGTGTTATACAGTAATATTTACTGAGCAATAAATTGTGGTCGAAAAGTGGTAATCAGTAAATATCACTGTATAACAACACTGTGAGACTTTATCGAAATAAATGTTACCCACAATGGAATTATACTCTACCGCCACAATGCACAAGTTCTATTCTTTATATCAGCAGAGTCATTTCACCACATTCTGTGCATGTAATTATTTAGGTCTTCTAATTATAACAAATAACCCTAATGTCGCCTTTATTAGGTTAACCTAACCCTAACTTGTGTCCTTGGCTTAAAGAGTAACTTAATCTTTCTCAAACACCTAAGCTGAAACTTACCAGATATCTCATTTAGCAGATAACATAACACTTCGATGTGAGCATATTTTATTGATTGATGATGACAATATTATTTGTCAGGTTTCACAAACTGGCTAAGTTAGTGAGTGATTCAATGTCATTGGTGCAGTCACACTAAATAGGTAGTTAGTGGTGCTTAAAGTTTAACTTGGGCATTTTCGAAAACGACCCCCGGTACTAGTGAAGAGTAAACACACAGTGGGATGGAGCAGTTGTCCTATGCTTTCCTGTTTCTGTCCGACTAATGTCGCTGGTCCATGACAAAACAAATCTACCCAGTAACGAGTTAAACCCCTGTAAAAAAAAAACTTATTATCACCAATGATATTCTTAATTGTAGTCGACTAGATTATGGGTCAGACAGTGAGTGGGAAACGAGAAGACAGGGGGGGATATCCTGGACCGATGTGAAGAACCTAGAAGACCTGGATTTCGCGCGTGGATCATTTATGTTTGATGTCACACAAAATCAAAGACTTACAAGGGAAAACCGACAAACTGATCGAAGAAGTAGTCGGTGAAGACAGGACTTCAGGTGAACATAAACAAGACGGAGGTTATGAAAACAACCAACCAACCAACCACAACAGCAGCAACATCCAGCGCCAATCACCATCAACGGGAGCGATTTGAAAGAGGTTACTTCATTCACTTACATATCAAGGAGCATTGTCTCAACTACACGCGCAACGGACGAGGATGTCAAATCGAGCGAGAATCGAGAAGGCGAGAAACACATGCATCAACCAACCTGAAACCAATCTGGAAATCTTCGTCACTCAACTCACCATCAACAACAAAATTCAGTCGGATTTTCAATACAAACAACGTCAAGTCAGTCAGCTCTTCTATACGGATCAGAAACTTGGCGGGCTGGGGGTCACAAAGAATATTTCCAACGGCCTGTTGCAAACATTTATCAACAACTGCCTTCGATCTATGCTGAAGATCAGATGGCCGGCTGGCCGGAAAGAATCACCAACAAGGGAAACTATGGGAACAAACAAACAAAACAAGAACCAATCGCCAACCAACTAATATGCAGGAGAAAGTGGAGATGGATTGGACACTCACTGAGGAGGCCGGGCCGCTGGGTGACATCGCGCGTCAGGCCATTGCTAGAGTGGAACCCGGAAGGGAAGTGGTGAGTGGGACGTCAATGCAAGGGTGACATCGAGGAGGTCGTGTGAAGAGGAGTTGAAACACTATGGACTAGCATGGATGTAGGTGAAAAGTACAGCAGAAGACAGAAGCAGGTGGAGGGAGACGTGCAGTTGAAGCCCTATGTTCCACTAGGTACCCAAGGAAATAATAATATAAAAAATATGAAATCAAACTATCTATACTAATTAATACACGCATGCCAAAAACGTTTGTCAATAAGTCTGAAATAGCAGATGATACATAAGGTAGACAGACATAGAGACTTATGGTTGTTTATTTTCCAGTGATTAAATATTTCACCAGCTAATACACACATAAAATAATAATAATAATATACTAATAAGAAAATCATTAAATTTATGTGCACATGGTGCCATACAATTTAAAGGCGAAAAAAGAAAACAAAATATTCCTGAATACTACTGTAAAAGGTCAGTCAGTCAGTCAGCCAGATAGTCAATCTTCTCTTGACCTGTAATACTTGCACAGTCAGGAATGTGTTATAATGATCAAAAGGGGGAGGAGGGAGGATTAAGAGCACCTGAATAGAAAAAAAAAATTATTGCTGTTAATGAGGCTGGGTGGGGGTAATACAAAACCACCACCACCCCCACCCCCACCTATCATATTCATTGAAACTATGTGTGAGAAAAAAAACGAAGACGACTTTGTAGAAACAGATTGTTTTATGAAAGCAATTCAATGAGAATTACATTCAAACTGAAAAAAAAAATGCTTCTTCATAAACCATAGATGATGAAGCGCTGGTTAATTAGGAGTATAACTTATGCTATTCAACGTACAACTGAATAAAATAAACAAAAATGGTTGAATTCTAGGAACTTAAAGATCTTTGCGTGTACAATACCATACTGCTGTATCCTAAAATTCCATTATTATTAATATTATTATTAATATATCCTTTAATTCCTAGAGGAACATAGGGCTTCAGCCGCTCACGTCTCCATTGCCTTCTGTTTTCTGCCAACTTTTTCACCCCGCTCCAAGTCTGCCCACATGCTTTCATCTCCTCTTCACATCACCTCCTCCACTCCACGTCACCCTTGCACTGATGACAGACTCGCCGCTTCCCTTTCGGGTTCCACTCGAGCCATGGCTTGTCTAGTGATGTAACCTGATTGTTTGTTTTCTCAGAGTATGGCCAAATCCACCTCCATTTCTTCCTGCATATTTGTTTCACAATCGGTTCCTACTGGGTTGGTTCGCTCATTGCCAGAGATTCCTGCTGCTGATCCTTCCTGGCCGGCCATCTGATCTTGAGTATTGAGAGAAGACAACTGTTAATGAAGGTCTGTAATTTGTTTGAGATGCTCTTTATGACTCGCCAAGTCTCTGACCCGTATAGTACCACTGACTGACTTCACATTGAAGTTGAAAATCCGGATCTTATTTTTGATGCTGAGTGCTGTTGACCTCCACACACAGACTTAAGGGTAATGAAAGCTTCTCTTGCTTTTCCGATTCTGGCTTTGATATCCTCGTCAGTTCCGTCCGCCTGTAGTTGAAACGATGCTTCCCAGGTAGGTAAGTGAAGGAGGTTGTTTCTTTCAGGTTCGTCCCATTTATGCTGGCTGATTGTTGTCTGTTGTTGTTGTTGCTGCTGCTGTTGGTATTGCCCAGGAATCTTCATCACCCCTGTTTTTCTCTGTTTTTTTTGGAGTACAATCTTTGATGCTTCTTCTATCACCAACTTGTTGCTTTTCACTTGTATATCTTTCAGTGTACGTGGGAAATCAGACATATATCATTATCGGCGAAGTCCAGATCTTACAAGTTTCTTTTTGTGTGAATCCATTTGATGCCTATTTCCTCGTTGCCCGACCCGCTGTCTGTCGCATTATCCAATCTACTGCAATCAGGAACGATCTATTTTGTAATAGTTTGCATAGCAAAAAGCCAAATATACCCTTGAAGTATATACATATATCATCATGCCTAGTTCACCAGCTCATTAGTTTATGTAGCCGATTCAAACCCAGGGGAAAGAAGAAGGGTTCAAACGTGAGGCTGATGACACTACACCAAAAAAATCAAACAAACCACTAGTGAAACACACAAAAAAGATATTGAAAATGTTTTAAAAAAACGAAATTAACAAACTTATTTTTCACTGGAATTGGACAACCAGTTTAAAAAGCCTTCGGAAAGTCAGCCGGTCAACCGATGTGTCTTTTTTCCCTCAATGAAAGCAAGAATAAGAATGAGGGGACGTGGAATGTAAGTACAATGTACGATGCTAGGAAGGTTGTGTAGGTAGGTGGCTAAAGATATGAGAAGATATGGTATAGAAGTGCTGAGCATCAACGACAGCAGATAGAATGGATATGGACTATCCAGACTGTTAACTTGAGAGGCAGTAATCTACTCCGGTCGGGTCACGAGCACACTGAAACAGTGAGTGGTTATCATCATGATGTCATCAATAGCAACCAGAGAACTGACGCAGTAGAAACTGATCTCCTCCGGCAAGATAATGCCAGCGAGACTCAACCCGAAAGGAGGGAAGGTAACAATTGTCCAGTGCTACGAACAAACAACAACTCGGAACAAAAGAAGAAGGAAGATTTCTATAAACAACTGCAAACAGTATTAAACAATGACATCCCAAATGGCAAAGTCAGAATCCTTATGGATGATATGAATGTCGAACTGGCAGCAGACAGTACAAGAAGAGAACTCATCATGGGTCGTATGAAGAAATCGTATGAGGAGAAGATTAGATATTATGTGCAATAGTGAATTCAGCTAATTCAGCATGCCTAACCATCGCCTCCCCCGACGGGCATTACTAGCTGATATAGGTGAAGGTTGGAAAAGAGCCAGTGGTGGCCAAACAAAAACATGGCATCAATCCATCAAATCCTTGACAGTTAAACTGAGTCGGTTAGGTAGGGAGATGCAGACTCCCGGGTTGGGGCCTCGGTGTGGTGAGAGCAGGCCGTGAGAAAATATGAGCAAGGCTGATTCAACAACCAATCACAGCAAAGTTAACGTGGCAAAATATGATTCGCAGAAAGAGAACTCTATTTGTCGAGGAATCCCGAAACAACCAATCAGAAGCCTGCGTTTGTCTACTTGCATAAGCTATAATAATGTATGTGAAATATGTATAAATACGTGTTGATTTTCATAATAAAACGATCTGTTGCCTGGCCCTTGTCTTCTGTTGTTACATTTGGTGTCGCTGCCTACCGACAAATGGAAAGCCTATGCCCTGCTGTTTTTGATGGAGACATATGGATCTTCGGGCAGGACTTCAAGGCTTCTGCGCAGTTGAGTGGTGTTCAAGATCTGTCAGCGATGGAGCTGCTACTTGGGACGCTGCTGGGAGGTCGGGTGAAAGCAGCATATGAAGGTGTGAGACGAAATACTGACGAATGTTCGACAGGGTCAGGCAAACAGTTTCCAAAGTGGGAAGGAACACATATGGTCACTTCGAGATGGGATTACGCGGACACAATCGCAATGACGAACAATGAGAGGCGCGTGAACGTCAGCGAGCTCCAGAAATGGATACAGCGAGACAAGCCAACGATGACGCCTGCACCAAGTAGATCAAGCCGACTTCAGTCGCACGTATTTGATGGGGGGACGAGTGTGGTGAGAGCAGGCCGTGAGAAAATATGAGCAAGGCTGATTCAACAACCAATCACAGCAAAGTTAACGTGGCAAAATATGATTCGCAGATAGAGAACTCTATTTGTCGAGGAATCCCGAAACAACCAATCAGAAGCCTGCGTTTGTCTGCCTAACTTCTGATAAACAACCAATCAGATGACTGCGCTTGTCTACTTGCATAAGCTATAATAATGTATGTGAAATATGTATAAATACGTGTTGATTTTCATAATAAAACGATCTGTTGCCTGGCCCTTGTCTTCTGTTGTTACATCGGGACTCTAGGAATCAATGGCTGGAGACAACAGGTGACATGGCTCAAAATCGTTGTCAATGGCCAGCGCAGATGTATTCAGTCTCTGTAATCTTTCATATTCCTTTCTACCATTACCCATTCTGTTTCACTCGTATACATGTGAAACTCTATTAATTCTCTCCACCTGTCTTCTTGTCTAGCTTTGTGTGATATTTGGAACGAGGCAACTCGAAGTGCTGCACTTCGGTGCCAAGTTCTATGTTGAATCCAGACAGACAGACAGCTAAAGAGGAGGACAGCAGAAAATAGGACAAAGTGGAGATATGTTGTGTTGAAGCCCCATGTTCCACTCCGAACCCAGGGGAACAATAATAATAATATCTGTAAATCTAATCTTATAGACAAGGAAACCCAACTACCTTCAAAAGATAATTGACAACACAAAAGGATCACCTAATTTAAATCTAAAAGCTTATATGTAAATAAGTAAAATAAAGACATACCTTGAGCGTTTTCACAGCAACCAGTACATTATAAGGTTTCCAAACAGCTTCATACACTACACCATATTGTCCTGACCCTAAGATAGAATTTGTAAAAAGACAAATCGAGTAAAATAAATATTTGACTGATGAAATACTTTTATTATTATCATTATTATTATTATTATTATTATTATTATTATTATTATTATTATCAAATAACACATAAAATCCACAGAAAAATATACAACTCTCATAACTTTAAGTTTATTAAGAGCGATCTTATGTGGGCGCCTAAGAACAGTCGTATAAAGTGAGATATATTACCATCTGTGATACAACAGTTATAAATCCAAGTTAAATTATGATAGATAATTAAGATAGATCCCGGCCGACAACTGCTAACTTGCCGTGGTGGTCGGGCTTGAATACCGCAGTGACCCAACAAGCTAAACTGGCTGGGACTCATGTTCCTGCAGGTCCTACCACGTCAGGAAGGTTGTAGGGATAGCGGTTAGACTAAAAGCAGTTACCATGGGGTACATGGGCTCCAGAATCCAATCGTATCAAATGGCGTATGAACCCATATGGGTCACCGGAAACCATGGGAATGCAGCTCCTGACGCTGCTCCGCTGCCTTGCGGACTAGACTCCAAGTCAAAGGCTCGGGGGTAGTCCCCAAAGAAAACCACCTGCTTCGGTCTGGGCGCCCGGGCAATATCTCAGCCCTCATACAACAAATGTAGTGTGGTGCAGCTTTCCCGGTGCCATATTGTATTATGCGTTTAAACAAATAAAATAAATAAAATTATGATAGATGTACACAAAAATAAATATCTACGGGATTTACTTTCATTAGGCTGTAGTACTAGCAATGCATAGCGTCATCAATGTTAATGCAATCCCCTCTCCCCATCCCAAGAGTGGAGGATATGAAAAGCCTCACTAACTGTCTTTGATCATAGGTGCCTGTGTTCTATCTCTTGTTTGAAATGGTATAATAAGGTAAGTAATATTGAGGCTAGGCATCGATCGGGTGCTAAGTAAGGAGGGGAAATCGACAGACAAGACTGTGAAGCTACATCGATTGAGATGGTTAGGACATGTGTTATGCATGCCTGGCCTAGCCGTCACCTTCCTCGATGACGGGTAATGGTAGATGACATAGGGTCAGGGTGGAGAGTAAATCCACTACAGTTAGTTTACGCCAGCCAGTTAGCCACCTAGGAAGGTGTAAACTTCCTGACTGGTTGGGGACCTCGGGACGGTAAAAACCAATCACCGACTGGAAACAATTGGTGATATGGCTCAAAATCGTCGTTTTCAATGTCTGGTGCAGATGCATCCACTCCTTGTGACTTATAATAGCCAATGAAATTTTATTGTTCTTCGATATTACTATTCTTTTCATCTTATATCTGTTTTCTGTCTCTATTTTGAATTTCTTTTTACTTTCTTCTCTTACTTTGTATGCCACATGGAGGGAGTGTGGCAACTTGAACTGCTGCACATCGATGCAATGTTTTTTTATTGAAAACAGTCAGTCAACCCTCACCGAGTTGACTGGTACAATTTTTTCCCAAGCCTGATATGTACAGGGATTTTAAAATTCTACCAGACTATTTGAATTGAGACGAAGTGAGCAGTAATCAAAACTGACTAAAACTCCAATTTTCAAAACCAATGGACCATACCAACGACACATTCGACTATTAATTATCAAACAAGAATAATAATAAGGACAGAGTAAACTACTAGGTATTTAATATTGATTTATTAGTTGGAATTCGATTACACAGAATAGATTTCTTATGTGACAGGCTATACGCAACACTCATTTTATAAGGTTTAATGGTACTTCTGGCAAAGTTAAGCTTTCGACACCACTAACAACCAATCAGCAAACGACCTTGAACGGACCAATCACATTAAGGAGGCATTTATGATAAATGGAAACGTATATTTATTGGAAAAAAAAAGCATAAATCTGTTACAGGTGGTATCTTTCCCTAACATGTGAGAGAAACATCTCCCAGTTAACCATAGGACTGTCAATGGAGAAGTCACACCACATTCTGCACATATATTCATCTAAATGACTATAAATGAGGTCCTCTTGAGATCCATTTATAGCCCTTATCCTGTTTTTCAAGCGACTCCAAAACCCTTCAATGGAATTCGCATGAGTCCTCGTAAAGGGTTCCACGAAATCACCTGATACCCAAATGTTGTTTGCTCGCTGGTGACCAAGGTTGTATTTCTTTTTCACCAGCACAGTTTCATCAACATACACGACGTCTTCTTCACCCAGCAAACAAGTGATTTTCTCTATTTTCCACGAAGCAACATCTCTGCAATGCTGGTACCACTGAACTGTTGACACGAGGTTATTCTCCGTCTCGGCAGCTCCTGCTCTCATCGGCTGTTTCAACACCCAGTAGTTGCAGATATACAAAATCTGGGTTAGAGAGAGATGCGACCTAGCGATAAAAGTTCCTACGAAATATTAGAATTATCAGCTTACCCTTTCTAATGCTAGCACGCTTCAAACATATAGCACAACGATGAACAAATCCATCAGTTGATGTGCTATAGCTTTTTAAAGTCATGATACCACCACACGAACCAGTTCGCTCCTTCTGGAGCAACCCTAAATCCAGGCAATACTGTTTTCCAGTATTCTGTCTGTCTGCATGTTGAATCCAGACAGACAGAATACTGGAAAACACTGTCCTCCTTGAATTACAACCGTAACCTTGTAAGAGCACGCATTAGAAATGAATCAAGCGCTACACAACATTGAACTACGTTCGTGAATCTCACTGGATAATTCGACGTCGTTCACTGATTGGTAGTTAGTGGTGTCGAAAGTTTAACTTGGCAATACTTTTCAAGTAGTGGTTCCCTGTTTTTAATAGTGCCATACATTCTACTGGCATTATTAGTTTTAGGCATTAAATTAAACCATTTAGACTCACCCAGTGACGGCTTCCTTCTGCGTATTAATTTCGCTGTATATTTCTTAACCTTATTCATTATTGTATCTACAGGCTTCTTAATTTCCCCATATGGGTGATCAACCTCTCATCAAGGGGACTAAGCTCTAGTGAGATAAAAGTACTTGAGAAAGGACTAAATTTCAATGTAACAGTTAGTAAATTAAAGCCAGAGGATGTCATTCCTAGCACAGAACTAGCACTAGGTTCAATAGATAAGACGACAGCAGAAGAGGTTCGAGCACAATGTGCATTAACCCTGAAAAACCAAAAGAAGGCAAAATCAAACTTAACAGCATCGGAAAGACTAGCTCTAACTAGTCTAAAACAGGATAAAAAATATCGTCATCGCAAAAGCTGACAAAGGAAACGCCAGCGTAGTTCTGAATAAATCTGACTGTATCAAGAAAGTCACTGAACATATTGAGACGAGTGAATATGAAGAAATTAAGAAACCTGTAGATACATTAATGAATAAGATTAAGAAATATACACCGGAATTAATACGCAGAAGAAAGCCGTCAATGGGTGAGTCTAAATGGTTTAATTTAATGCCTAAAACTAATAATGCTAGTAGAATGTATGGCACAATTAAAATACATAAGCCAGGTTACCCCATATGACCAATAGTGGACTTAAGAAATACCCCTACTTACTAGTAAAAAGAATAAAAATCACATTTGAATCGGAAAATGAACAAGGAGAATTGGCTATGATGTTAGATTGTAAAAAAAACGAATAGAAGGTAAACTACACACCCGCGTTTATAAAACACCAACGCATTATAATAGATATTTAGACTTTAATTCACCTCACCCGTTAACTGTCTGTGAAGGCAGGCTTAGTTAAGTGTCTAACAAACCGAGCAACAGCAATAAGTATTACAACACAAAACCTAAAGTATATATATATCCGAACCAAGTTCACTTTTAACGGTTTGAAAAGATTTGGGCATTGGGTATATGATATTCATTATAATAAAGGTTTTTGTATTTCTCAATGAGTGAATGAAAAACAAAACGATATTGTAAAAACAATATCGTGAGTAAGCTGTGTCGTAATCACCTACTTCATTTGGCTGATATAGTCAACTCATTGACTGCGTAAAAGTTACTGGAACTGGAGAGAAGCTAAAGTATCATCATAGGCCACAGTCAAGGTCTTTCAATGTTTACCTTGAAAGACCAATCAGATTCACTGGACACTGCCATAGGTCATTCCTAACAGAATTCAAGTCTACGTTTATAGATATGGTTAGTGAATTACTCCGCGAAGATCGAGCATTTTTTACTAGTGTGTTAATAATGGATTAATTGGAGTGACTAAGAGTTGTGATCATGGAGATACTATGATGCTAAAGCAGTACAATAATAATAATAATAATTTTGATTTATTCCAAAAACAGCACTAATGATACAGCAGAGAATTTTCAGCATTCAATACAATATTGCACCTAATTTGCTCAAAAACAAAAAAATAAAAATAAACATTACATAATAGTAATAAAACATTGTTATAGCAGTTATATAGCAAATTGCTGTATGCAATACGGAGAAAAAATATGCATAAAGTATAAAATTGTAGTAATAATAGTTATAACAACTAAAATAAAATAGCAAAGTTATAATTAAACGATAGAAAGGGTGACACCAAAAATTACAGAAAGATGAACAATGAAAGGGCCAATTCATTGTGGTAATTACATAATAACTTATATGTTTCACGTCTAACAGTCACATAAAATACGGGCTAAATACGGTATTGCAGAATTTTTGTACTTAGTGGCACGAGCATATAACTTCTTATACTGACTTCTCGTCCTGCCTGATGAGATACAAGGGGACAGGTGTGAATAAAGGGGGTGCAGAGAGTCTGACACTACGGCCTTTGCCCATTTTGTACAGGAATTTATATGTCTCTCTCGACTATAGTATTGGCGAGCTCACGCAGTGGCATACCACAAGCCCTACTCACAGCATTTACAACCCTTCGTAATATGATATAGTCTTCTTTGAGAAGCCCAGGAAAGATCAATGGAGAGCAATAGAGTACAATAGGTAAAATACAGGAGTTCAAAAATTGCAAAACTCTTTAGTTGGTTG